TCGGACAATGTAAGACATGACAAAACAATAATAATTTATAAATTATCAAGGGGTCGTGGGGAGGGGGGGAGCAGGTAGGGAGGAGGGAAAAATGAGCTGATACCAAGGGCTCAAGTGGAGAGCAAATATTTTGAGAATGATGAGGATAACAAATGTGCTTGATACAATTGATGTATATATGGATTGTGATAAGAGTTGTATGAGCCCCCAATAAAATGTTTTTTTTTTAAAGAAGACTTCAAATGGACCCTGTTGGCTTCCACCAATAGATGCTTTAATCGCCATGCAGCCCTCCTCTGCGGTAACTCCAGATCGAATCCTATGAGATGCCTGTATGGAGAGGTAAAATGCGGTCAGCTGTCGGCAAGTTCATGCATTTGAACTATGGTGCTGGCGGAGAATATCGAAAGTACCAGGGTCTGTCAAAAGAACCCAGACACCTGTGTTGGAAGAAGTACAGCCAGAATGCTCTTTAGAAGCCAGGATGGCAAGACCTCCTCTTAGGAACTTTGGACATGTTATCGGGAGAGACCAGTCCCTAGGGAAGGACATCATGCTTAGTAAAGTAGAGGGGCAGCGAACAAGAGGAAGACCCTGGACACAGTAGATAAATTGACGCAGTGGCTGCAACAATGGGCTCAAACGTAGCAATTGTGAGGCGGGCAAAGGCCGGGCCGGGCAGTGTTTCAGTCAACTGGCTGTGAGTCAGGCCAGCTCTACAGCACCAGTGAGTGGGATTCAGAATGGTTTTTCCCCAGATTGTCGTCCCCCACCACCCATATTATATGACACATGGTAAATGACAGTACACTTGGAGGTCAGCTGCTTAAAGGTCATCTCCCTGAGGGTATCAGCCATCTAGAGCAAGCAGACTCTATAGTCTGTCCCACTCCCTGCTGCTAAGCATAGTGGATTGCTCCCCTGAAGGAGAGCCCAGAGACGAGGTCAAGCCCACTCAAGGGGGACCAGGGTTAGGCTGCCTTCTTGAATCCAGGGTCCACCCATTTTGTCATATGTGTACCCCTAGTGCCTCCCCTTCCTATTGCATGTACACCCCTAGCTTGTGCCCTTCCTGTAGACATATGCTATTGTACAACCGCTTCCCATTATGATGTAGCCAGGGAGTTTTTCACATCCCACAAAATGTCTCTAAGCGGTGATTAGACATATATTCTCTCTGCGTGGACCTGGCTACTGAGATCACGGCTGTCCCGGGGGTGAGCGATAGCATACTTTTATCTTGTCTGAAGTTTCTGTAATTTTACCCCTCAATCACACAACCGCCCCTTGGACCTGTTCAGTCGTGGGGGCTGTTACCCCACACGAGTATCTGAGAGTCTACATCCCCAGTTGCTCTAGATCTGCTTAGAGGGATGGAGGGAATGAATGAATGAATGGATGGATGGTTGGATGATTAGGACTAGTGAATGCGTGAGCCCCACCCCGAGCCACCCTTCAGGACACAACCCTCTCTCTTCCCCGCAGCCTCAGGAGGATTGCGGAGCGCGTGCCCCGCCTGCTCCACGGTCTACTTCCTCCTCTTTGTCTTTTCGCTGTCCACCGTCTTCCATTGCCACCTGCGCCTGGCCTCGGTGCCCGCCCCCTGGGCGCACCCAGCTCCCGTGCTCCTGGTCCAAGAGCACGTCTCTCAAGAGGGCGCGTGGACCATAAACTCCAGAGGCCGGCTGGGGAACCACATGGGCCAGTACGCCACGCTGTACGCCCTGGCCAAGCTGAACGGGCAGGCGGCCTTCATCCCAGCGCAGATGCACAGCGTGCTGGCGCCCATCTTCCAGATCTCCCTCCCGGCCCTGCACCGCGCCGTGGCCAGCAGCATCGCGTGGGAGGACTACCCGCTGCAGGACTGGATGGAGGAGCGCTACCGCCACATCTCGGGCCGCTACGTGCGCCTCACGGGCTACCCCTGCTCCTGGACCTTCTACCACCACCTCCGCGCCGACATCCTGCGCGAGTTCACGCTGCACGAGCACCTGCGCCGCCGGGCCCAGCGCTTCCTCGGGCGGCTGGCGGCGCGGCGGCCGCGGCCGGCCACCTTCATAGGGGTCCACGTGCGTCGGGGCGACTACGTGCGCGTCATGCCGCGGGTGTGGAAAGGCGTGCTAGCCGACCGCGGCTACCTGCAGCGGGCCCTGGACTGGTTCCGGGCCCGCCACCACGCCCCGGTCTTCGTGGTGACCAGCGACGACATGGCCTGGTGTCATGGGAACATCGACAGCTCCCAGGGGGATGTGGTGTTTGCAGGCACCGGCCTGCAAGGCTCGCCCGCCAGGGACCTGGCGCTGCTCACGCAGTGTAACCACACGGTCATCACGATTGGTACCTTCGGCTTCTGGGCTGCCTACCTCGCGGGGGGCGACACCATCTACCTGGCCAACTTCACCCTGCCCGGCTCCCCCTTTGAGCTGGTCTTCAAGCCCAAGGCAGCCTTCCTTCCAGAGTGGGTGGGGATGGCAGCCGACCTGGGGCAGGCCCTGGAGAAGGGCCCTTAGTTCTGCTGGCTCCACCCCCCTTGCTCTCCAGTCTCTGGAAGTGTGGGGCAGGAAGGGTTGGCCACTTCCTGGCCGGTTGGCATTGGCCAGGTGACTTACTCTCTCTGTGCCTCAGTGCAGAACACAGCCGAGCTGACCTAGGCAGCTGGTCAGTTAGGGCCCTCGTCTGATACAGAGAGATGAGTGCCCCACCCCTCCTTCCAGCTGCACGTGGGTGGTCACAAGTGTTTCCCTTGCTTAAAAGTTCCATTATTATAATGTATGGGAGCGGGGCTGGTGTTAAGGGCCAAAACCTGGTGTGGAGACTTTGAGGCCTTCCATACCCCAACAGCCTCCCTGCCGGTGCTACACGCTAAACCCTTCAGATGCCAACAGAAGCTCCCCGAGATGCATCTTATTTCTCCCAGAGTCTGCCCGCCCCCCCCCCACCTTCATGTTGATAAGGTCCATTAAATCCAAACCCCGAAGTCTTAGATACCCCTAAACAGCCCCCCCCCCAAAACATGAGTGTCCCCGTAGGAGGGGAACGCAAAATACCTTGTGCATTTATTATCCCATTGGTGCTCTGAAGAAGGGGAGAAGGAACAAAAGCAATGCAAACGTCACTGCTTCCAAAGGGCTTGGGGTGCAAAGCAGGGAGGCTGTTGGGGTGGAGGAGGCCTCCACGTCTCAGCACCAGGCTTTGGTCTGCAGCCCCAGCCCCAGCCCCACCCCCATATTCCTAATGTCAAGGAAGCAGCAGCTTGACCTCCAGGCGTCGCCAAGGACCATGGCCATCTGGCCAGTTCCCTGTCTGGACCCAGGACAAACGAAGAGGCCCAAGGAGAAAGCTGCAGCCCCCACCCTTTTGGCTGTGCCGTTAAAAACAATGGCTATTCCCCTCACTCGAGAGTCCTCCTCGCCTGGTAAGGGGGCCCGCTTCATTCCTCTTTGAAGTGTCTCTCTTCTGTGCTGAAATAAACCTGTTCTTGGGGGGGTGGGGGGAAGAGCTGATACCAAGGGCTCAATAGAAAGTGAATGTCTAGAAAAGAATGAAGACAACATATGTACAAACATGCCTGATTCAACTGATGTATGGATTGTGGTAAGAGTTGCACGAGCCCCCAATAAAATGATTTAAATATGAAAAACAAAACAAAACTGCGCTTAGCTCTTTGCCGAGGTACGTGAGTGTGTGAGTTTGGCTTATCTGTGGCTTATATCTTACAATCCAGTCTAGTTCCCGAGCCCCTACCCCACCTTCCCGAGGATAACCAGCCTGGCAACGGGGATATGGCATTCCTCCGCAGGACAGAATGTCACATTTGGGGGCTCATCTGGGATGGAGAGTCAACATCTGCATTTGTCTTCATTTGGTGTGGGATCCAGCCCACCTGTGGATGGGTCCGAAGGGACCATTGTGTCGTTGAGGGGAAGAAATTAAGAGGCAGACAAAAGTTTTGGGGTGCTCACCTCCTCCATGGTGTCAGGAACCAGGTCTGGGAGAAAGAGAGAGAGAGAATGTATTCTCACATCGATTTATATAGTCTCAGAGCATGCAAGCCCCTATAATTACAGGTAACCACATAGGTAATGAAGTGGGCTGTTACTTAACCCTAGAGGTCCCTGAGCTCATTGGAGGAGTAACCTGACACCAGTGCTGGGGGCAGGTAGGGGGGAGTGACTGTCCCCTGAGCAGGGAGAGCAATTGCAACACATCTGCCCCTACAGATAAAGCTGCAGGCCAGATAGCAATCAGCCATGTGCTCGGAAGAGGTCGCTTTAAGGCAGCACAACGATGGGAGGGCATTGTAGGGATTCACCTTAGTGATGAGAATGGGATTGGGACTCATCTCCAACTCACAAATGTGAAGGCCTCCCTCCACCCAGAATCCTAGCCTCCCAGGTCCCCCGTCCCCCCCGGCTTATTAAATATAATAAAGAATTTGCCAGCATACACTCCCTTCCTGTTCCTCAGTTTCCCACCCTTAGATTTGTTCTGTCCCAGGTAAGCTATTGGGAGGTGAAAGTCCCCAGCTACTTGTCTTTGTATCTTGTTTTTACCTGGGTTCTTTGCTCTCTGGTTCTCTCACTTACCTTGGTTTATGAGACTGGGTGGAGGAAAACAATCTCCCATCTGAAGAGAAGGCAACCTTCCCTGTATGCCCTCAGACAAGACTGAGAGAGGGCAGATGCCTCCCCAGTCTGAAGAAAAGGGCACTATATAGATGGTTCCTAAATCCACATACCTGTAGTCTGATAACAGTCAAGGTGAGTCCAGGGATTGAATCGGTTGATCACATGAGCCCTCACCCCTCCCCTGTCATGGGAGAGTGAATGATGAGACATATAATAAGGGTAACATCCAGAGAAGACCTCGTGCCACACAAGTAGTACTCGCACTGCCCCAGATTTTCCGTATTTGTGAATCAATTTCTTTTACTAAAATCTTGAGAGAATAAGCCCGGGCCTGAGTTTGGGAACTGCTTAAGTCTGATTATTTTTCGAAAACTCAGGGTACGGTCTTACATCGATCAACTCTAAGGAGATACTAATAGGCCATCAATGATGGAAATCCTGGGGGAAAGAACTCTTAATTAGGAGCTTGTTAAGTCTCTGAGAGGCTGTCAGGTGCCCATCTGAATTTCGCCTTCTCTGCTTAGAGTGTGTGTGAGGCCTGGTTGACTAGAGAAACAAATTCAGAGACCCCTATCTCTGTCTAGGAAAGAGCTTTCCACCAAGAAGTAATTACACATCAAGCAAACATCCCAGCTCGGTCCAGATCAAGTCCATAAGTCTGATACTGGTCCATAAGTCCCTCTTCAGACTCACACAGCCTCATGCAACGAGGCAGACTGTTGGAACATCACTGGCCAGTGGGTGCAGTCTTGTGGATCCAATGGCGGTGGCTACCTCACAGGGCTCACAGGGCTCAGGGTGACTCACCGGCAGGAAGGTGAAGGCAGAGAGACAGGGAGTGAGTTAGTTAATTGTGCCAACCTGGCCGATAATCACATGTGGGGCTAATTGAAAGGCGGAGGGATAAATGGGTGGTGAGCCTCGCCTTT